TATACAGAGATCGCGAGTCTGCCGAACAAAATGGATTAGTTGCGTTTACTAGGTAACGTTTTAAATACTCATCTAACAGAAATATCTAAAACATAGGCATCTCGAATTACAGATTAAGAACTGGTAATAACCAGTATATGTTTATTTCTCGATGATAGGAGAGCAGAAATGGGGAGAGCAGCCCTGTACCTACCATCTTGCTTGGTAGTACATTAGGTGTACACTCAATGGTTTGTTAAATTTTATGAATTTCTTTGCTGTTTAGTGAGATTGCCGAACACCTAGAGATGTCTAGTCAGGGCTATCTACAGGAAGTCCTCTTACGACCTTGAGTGCGGCGACCGTTTACTGGATTGATTATTTAGATCTAATATTTTTGGTTACACTCATATTCTGATTCCAAATTACTATAACCTTCATAAAGTCAGCTTTGATGAACATGCGTACATTAATGGTGACGACTTTGCTGAAGCTCAGGTCTTCAACTTCATTGAAGATCTGGGTTTATTCGAATATAGGAAGTTAGCAACTCTTTGGAGAAATAGACACACACCTGAACACTTAGACAGCATCTCTATAAACGAAGAATCCCTAATTAACAAGTACTCAATCTTTTCTCCTCTGAGTAAAAAGGTCATTCCGTCATAGCCTTCAAGTTTGTTAGATAAACTGAGACAAAACATCATACTAGCAACAGGTGTTAGAAATACAAACAATTGGGTATGTCAGTTTTACGACAGTCGACACTACGACAGGTGGACTCGGAAGCCAACTTTCACACAATATATGACGCTTACCAGAATTTCTTATCGCATACGATCCTATACGCTATAAAATAGTCTGTATTTCAAACGGTCCTAAAAAATTACAAGCTTCTCACGGTCGTCAATAATCGCACTCTTCAGTCGAAGTTACATCTCGCAATCAGCACCTTACGTGGTTTATCCCATCGACGTATCAAGGTACTATAGATGCTTTGAAGACTGTACAGCACAAAGGACGTTATTACAGAAATATATTAGTTAAAGTAGATACAAGCGAAGTTAAGAGCGCTGCCGCATGGGCCAGTCTATGGCGTACAATTAACTGGTGCGCATTGTTCGTCCTTGGCCTTGACGAGGGTCAATGAATTTTTCTATATATAATGACCCAACTGCCGGATGATTTGGCTAGGGCTCAGTGTAGTTTCACTGGTCCTACAACTAGCTTGCTTCATATATAAAAAACCCACTTTTACGAGTAAGGGTAAATTTCACTTTTTCTCAGGTTATGAAATGTCATGATGGTGTCCTTCAGTGTTCAGTACTAGGATGTCTTGTATTCTTCATTCATGTTGTATCAGCAAATAAATCTCCAAAATGGGTAGTTTTGTTGGTCCTCGACATGATGCTGACTGTATTAGCTTTTGTGAACACACAACAGCTGATAGTAGTCGGTCGCGCATCCAGACCAGATCACGATTGGTAATGCCGTGGTATGCATCCTTTGCAACTACTAGCCAGCCCAGATCAAACACTTCTCAATATATCAACAACTTTCAAAGATATCTTCAAATCTCCTCATTCTTGAATTCCGATTTGACTGAGTTGGTATCCTTCGGTTATAAAGGCGTTACGTGTAAAGTCGTTATCAAACTCCAAATACCTATGGCATCTTTAATATAAGTGACCTTTGTTAGTTATGTCCATAACTAACCAATCAAATTGTCGCTTAAGCTCCCACCACGTCAATCTGTTCTGATATGTCTGTAAAAAATCCCTGTTACAGGTGACCTACCAATTGAAAGACATTATTATCCGATTATTATATTGTGGCTCGTACTTTTTATTCATTTCGATAAGACCTGCAATACTGGTCGGTATGTTTCTGCGTTCCACTTAATGACTGTAATTCCTTTAGTTATTGTACTACTTGTATTGTTTTTACGTTTAGGAACAGATAACGTTTAAAGCAAAGTTGTCCTTGTTCTGACTATAGCTTTCACATCGACTCTGGGATCGCCAGTATCGCGTTTACAGTTCTAATAGTATATCTGTAGAACAAATTAAATCCTACAACCTTCTACAGCCAGTGTTGTATGGTTTAATACTTTTCGCTGACAATAAGAATCCTTTCAGAGGGGTTCGCAACCAAAGTGATAAGCTGACACTTCCAAAGGGTCTGACCCAATTTCACAGGTCACTGGATAGCAATGGTCAACATTAAACACTTTAAGGTATGAAACAGTCCATCTCAGATAATGTGCAAACTACACGCACAACTTAGGGAAGTCCCCACTGAATGGTTCTTAGGTTTAATAAGACCAAAGAGTCTTTGTGACCTACGGTCTAAAGTCTTTGACTAGGTGCAACAAAAATGCCTTTCGATCAAACCTTGCACATGCAACGTTCGATGGCAGAACATTCTAGTTGACCCTCAACAATTTTATCTGACTTCATTTAGAAAATGGAAATATAGTGTATCCTCTCACTACAAAAGTATAAGGATACGCTTGAGTGTATCCCAAAACGAGCAAAGAAATCAGTTCGGACACTTATATACAGACCTTATGAAGAGCTTCTCAAATAACCAAATCTTTACAAACTGGAGTACAGGCATCTTAGAGGTTAGCTTTTATAGACTTATGGCATCCAAGACACTTCTGGGGAATCCCTATTAATACCTACTTAAGCTCAGTCCCAACACAAACCTTACGAGTGACACCCGGGCATTATGGACAAGACACAGAAGAACGGACTGCAGACAGACATTGCTCTATTTGCGAGATGATCTCAGCGATCTTCCATAAGACTTGAAAGATAAAACTTGAGGTAATTTTAAGGACAGAAGACATCTCACTATAATTTACCAGTATTTTTCGTTTTTTAGATGTCCTCAAATTCCTACTCAGAGTCATCGACAATTCACTGTCACTAAATACCGAAGCCCGTCAAGCAAAAGCTTTTTCCATTTCGTCCAAAATTTCATTGCATTATTTAAATTGGTGATTGAACAAAGGAGCGTGCTTTAAGATTCCCTCGAAGTCGGTTGGACTTTGACCACATTCGGTTAGTTGAGTAGTCACTTGTTTGGTTTGTGGTATTTTTGACTGAAATAACATATACATTAGACGATTAATTCGCATGCTATCGCATACCGTTTTATTCCGAGATACATTCTGTCATATTGCTATCTTTGAGATAAGTTGGGGGAAGTTTTTGTACCAAAATGTGGCGGACTTTTGAGGAATTGTGTCTTACTGCGACCTGTTACTCTAACTTCGGGCAAATATCTTGCCTTTTAATTGAACTGTCTTTACTGTGGGAAATTCCAGCACCATATTTTGGGAGGGATTAGACCCCCTAAAGTACACTTTGCTAAGACGCTCGTTATGCTAACATCCATATGCCTGTTAAAACATATTTCTCGTAACATTATCAAACCCTTCTGCGTGTGCGTAGAATATGTTCTCCACTGGAACTAATCCAGAGGCGAGTTGCAAAATTTTTCTTCTAGGAACAAAAACTGGATTTATACATGTTGAGATATATGTAACTCAAAAGCGATCTCGTAGTGACCACTTAAATCATAAACATAGTTGTTCTCTGAAATACCCAGGTTTATTATTTTCCAGAACGTTGGTTATAGTACTCTCAATTTCGATATGCGACAGCTGTTTGGATTATAGACATTTTTGTCTACCCATAAGCAGCAGTCAAAGCTAATTATTTGGATCGCTCCAAGAAATTCTATAGAACTCTTTGAGAGGGGAGCTTTTGTTCTGTTGGATATTTGATAACATCTCACTAATTTTATGAAGTATTTCATACTCCAACTTATTTCACACACCTAGGTTCCTATCTAGATGTATCAATGCTCCATTTTTGCTGGTCACGACAGCTCGTTCAGCAAAAGATTAATTGTCAGCCATTTATATGCCGCATATGTAGGTTCAAGACTACAAGCTCGTTTCGTGGTCCATCTTTGAATATTTTCCCAAGTGAAGGGAGGAAAGCTATCGAAAATGAAGACATTTTTATCACTAACTCTTCTAGTTGTTGTTCGGGCGAAACTGTAATTTAGGAACGAGCCGATCAGAAGCGTTTGAGCAATTTCAATTATTAGCCAATCAGAAGACAGTTAGTATAAAGTGAAAATATATTATAAGAAAGTAATGAATTACAGTGGATATTCTTTTACATGATTTAAAAACTTGTCAAGGTTTGATAAAGGTTCAGAGGTTCTGAATTCATAATGCATATGATATAGAAACTCGTCCATAGGGTTAGGGTTAAGGTTAGGGTGCTAACCCTAACCCTATATGATCGGTTTGCAACGGATTTTAGAGAAGAGTTGTTTATTGAGAGGCTACAACCCTAACCCTATGGATGAGTTTCTATACCATATGCATTATGAATTCAGAACCTCTGAACCTTTATCAAACCTTAACAAGTTTTAAATCATGTAAAAGAAGAATATCCACCGTAATTCATTACTTTCTTATATTTTCACTTTATACTAACTGTCTTCTGATTGGCTAATAATTGTCAAGGTCATTTAAGATTCGTTCAAAGGTCGTCCCTAAATTAGAGTCTCGCCGTTGTTCGTTTATACCATACGAGTCCTGCATTATATTGCGTATGGACGAATCTACACTTTTCGTTGCTATCTACTCAAATTTAAGGTTGATTCCAACCCTCTTACAGTTTTGTCATTCTGGATTGATTACTCGTCCTGGCCTTACATTGTCTGCAAAAGTGTTTTCAAAAGACCTGTCGTTATTATTTGTTTACGTAGTTCAGAGAGTGGAAGGCCTTAAATTTCTGCTTTCGCAAATGATGACTCATTATCTTGTATAGTTTCAATCGACCTCACTTATTTGCCTAGTCATATTTGTTCTTATTTGAAATTTTGTTTCGATCGTTGTTGATTAGCCAGCTTATTATTCAATCTGAACTGGGTAAAGAGTTTGACTGACTACCATACTAAAGCTAAATTTTGGAAATTGTACTACATAAAACATGAGTAGTAGTGATGAAATCTCTTGGATATCATGGTTCTGTGGCCTACGTGGAAATGAGTTCTTTTGTGAAGTAGAGGAGGATTACATCCAAGATCGATTCAACCTTACCGGTTTATCAGAGCAAGTTCCTGAATACCGTGATGCTCTCGATATGATACTTGATTTGGAAACTGGTAAGACGTTTATAAATCTTTTTGTTTTGTAAGATTACCGTCTGTTGCGTCTTGTTTTTTCGTAAATCTTTTGGATGCTAAAATTTGGTACTATGTGCCTTCATGTTGCATGTCATTAAATCTGGTTGTTTTTCCGTGTGAATTATGAACTTGATCTACACTGGTATAGAAATATTTCGGTTGCTTCGCTATTTCCTCATCACTAACGTTTGCAACTAAATTTGAAAAAGTAACATTATGTGGTGTCTTGGACTTGAGGATCCTTACTTTTGGTTCGCCGTTCCTCAACTAAAATGCCAGGTGTAATATGGACTGAAGAAATCCTTGATATAGTTGCATTCGACCGCTACAATTGGCGAGCCTACCTGGTGTACCAGAGTAACAGTTTCGGTTTAGCAATAAGTTAAAGAGAGTGAATCCTCTTTGAAAAACCAAAGCCGATCTGGATAATCTTTAATCTTCGTAAAATGGAGTGTGACTCTTTCCCAATAGTAGTTATTGATAACACTCTCTGTCTTCCCTTAAACTAAGAGATTAAAATTGCTTCATATCTTTCTTTCTACGAACTAATTCTTTCTTCCTGTACTATATACTTGTATTCAATCTTTCTCTTATATATTACCACCTTTGAATTAACTACTTTTATGAATCCGGTGTCCATCTTGTGTTAATGAGGTATGGCAATTTGGACCGACGCATATATGTGCCTGGTCCTACGTTGTAGCTGACTGACTGACTATTGATAACCGTCTTTCGGGATGGTTCATCACATCTCGCTGCATTTCTGTCCCAACTCTATCACAGCTTTTTCAATTTCTTAAAAGGTTGGAAAGTCGTTGTTAACACACCTATTTGTTGGAATCACTTTGCTAACGAGTGGTGTGTAGATGTAAATAGGCGCTTCACTTATCAATCTAGCCTCCTACTGTAAAAGTTTATTGACAATGAGTTTATCCCCTCAAGACTGTCTTCATCATAATCATTAAGAAAACCATTTAGACCTCGGTGTTAGTTACACACCTCCTACAATTTCGCTAGTCACTGTTCGATCTCTTTCAAGTTATTTCCTGTTTATAGTGTCTGGATAAAACTGATGCTTCAAAAACCAAACATTTATCATCAACACAAAGCCTGATACAGATGTACGTTTCTTTAAGTTGTCGTACTACAGTGCTATGAGATGAAACTAACCAGAAAAGTCGAAATAATGTAATGAGGAGAATGAGAAAAACCAAATATTGAAAATTCAAATGGTTTGAAAGAACAAGCAAATTGTTATAAAAGAACACGAACTCAAAATCTAGAGATAAAGAGTGAGTGGGTCTGCGCTATAGCGAATGATTGTGAATCGTTTAGTCCAAATTCTCTAGTAGTTTTTTTCCTAGAAGTTCTTTTAAAGGGAAGCATTTGCAGAGAAATAAAACCATTCATGGATTAGCGTTTCAGTGGAAGCTAACAATTAGCATAGTGTGAAACCTAGGTCTTTTAGGATACTGAACCCATTGTTCATCATAAGGAATAGCAATGTTTTTCTCACTATTCCATGTTCCACTGTTCTTTTCTTTGAGACACTCGCCTCACTACTAAGTAAATAGGTGAGTTAAGCAAGGGCAGTTTACAAGTGTTGATATATTGCATCATAACTGGCATCAAATAAACTGTTAAGAACAGCTTGCTGACTTTTACACGCGTGCGTATCAATCTCCGTATTTTGTAGAGAGTAAACCACTGAGTCAAATATTTTCCCTGACTTATCGAGGATTTAACTTACTTGCTAGGTTTGTGCTAGATACGTTTGTTCTGGTAGGTCAATCACTTAATATGAGGTTTTTTTTAAAAATACTTTTAGACCCTTCTGATAATCCAGAAATACCGATCTCATTGAACAAGCAGCTGAAATGCTTTATGGACTAATACATTCTAGGTACATCCTGACAAATCGTGGTATTTGTTTTATGGTGGCGAAATGGCAGCAAGGGGATTTTGGTTATTGTCCTAGAGTAAGTAAACTTTTCCTGCTTGCATATGTTGAACTTGTAAATATTCTTTCACTTTGACATTTAAATGAAATAAAAGCAGTCTTGTTTCATTTTTTTCGCAACCATAAATGAAGTTAGCTTTTTTTCATTTTATTTTGCACTACCTACATAACACAGAAATGTATTCATAGTAGTTCAAGTGAGGAAATATTAAAGTATATCAAAATAAAAAGGGATATGAATTAAAAGATCTTGATTTATTTATTTATTTGAGCACATAAATATTGGACCGAGAAACCTGGTGGTCGAAGCGTGTTAATGAGCTGGAAGCAGCAGTTTCATCTGGTAACTACCGGAAGCTCTTCCAACTCATCCGAGCCGCTGGCAGCAAGAAGTCTGGTGTGAGCGAAACAATCTGCGAGGATGACGGGACGCCAATCACCAACATCCATCGACGTATTGGACGATGGGCAGAATTTTTCGAAGGGCAGTTCAACTGGCCTGCCGCTCCTGCAACATCGGTCAGACTGTCCTGTCCTCCATGGCTGGTGACGACTGATCCACCAAATGAGGCGGAAGTCCGCAAGAAACTCCAACTCTTGAAGAGCTACAAATCACCGGGGCCAGATGACCTCCGGTTCTTTTTAAAGATGATGGTGACTTTCTGGCTAAGGAACTGACAGAGTTGTTTACAAAGGTCTGGAAACTAGAGAGTGTACCAACGTCATGGAATAAGCCGATAGTTGTCCCTATCTTTAAAAAGGGTTCACGTCGTTCCTGTAACAACCATCGGGGGATAAGTCTACTTCCGATTGCATCCAAGCTATCGGCTCCCGTCATACTTCGTAGGTTGTTCAAAACCTGAGAAAGACTGATTCGCGAGGAACAGGCTGGTTTTCGTTCTGATAGAGGATGTATTGATCATATCTTCACCCTCCGCCAAATGTTAGAACACCACCATACTTATCAAAGGCCAACAATCGTAGTGTTTCTTGACATCAGGGCTGCCTTCGATTCGTTGGACAAGACTGTTCTCTGGGATTGTCTACTGAAGGATGTGTCTGAGAAGTTTATTCACACCTTAAATGCCCTATATACAAACACCTCAGACAGAGTGAGGGCATACAACCACCTTTCTCCATTGTTCCATTCGAGCAGTGGGGTTAGGCAGGGTTGCCCAATCTCACCATTCCTCTTCAACTTTGCCATCGACGACATTCTGGAAACAGCTCTGATGGATGTAAGCAATGGCAATGTGGATTTGTTGCTTGGAGAAAGACTTCTCGACCTTGAGTATGCGGATGATATTGTCTTACTGTGCGATAATGCCCAAGCCATGCAATCCGCACTTAATCAGTTGGCAATCAATGTCCGTAGGTATGGTATGTGCTTTGCACCTCCGAAGTGCAAAGTACTTCTACAAGACTGGCAGGATTCTAATCTTTTACTCACTCTGGATGGTGAAAAGATAGAAGTAGTTGAGAATTTCGTGTATCTAGGTAGCTGCATGAGTTCTGGTGGGGGTGTGAGTGATGAGATCAATTCACGTATAGTGAAAGCCAGAGCGGCTTATGCCGATCCGGGCCATCTTTGGTGCCTTCGTGATGTTAGTCTGGCTGTAAAAGGTCGGATCTACAACGCGTCGATGAGAGCAGTTTTGCTCTATGCTTGTGAAACCTGGTCTCTCCGAGTTGAGGACGTTAGAGAACTCTCTGTGTTCGATCATCGTTGTCTCCGAAGGATTGCTGGCATCCAGTGGCAACACCATGTTAGTAATGTAGAGGTTCGGCATCGTGTGTTCGGGCACAGAGACGATAATGTAATTGGTGTCACCATCTTAAAACACCGACTTCGGTGGCTTGAACATGTTCTACGAATGTCGTCCCAGAGAATTCCACATCGTGCATTATTTGCCGACTCTGGGAATGGTTGGGAGAAGCGGAGAGGTGGTCAGTGCATGATATAGTGTCTTGGTATAAAAGAAAGCTGCAAAGGGCTGGCTTGTATTCAGTCAGTCAGTCAGCTACAACGTAGGACCAGGCACATATATGCATCGGTCCAAGTTGCCATACCTCATTAACACAACAAGATGGACACCGGATTCATATAAGTGGTTAATTCAGAAGTGGTAATATGTAAAAGAAAGATTGAATACAAGTATATAGTACAGGAAGAAAGAGTTAGTTCGTAGAAAGAAAGATATGAAGCAATTTTAATCTCTTCGTTTAAGGGAAGACAGGGAGTGTATACACCGACGCCATTGTGATCGATTTTGAGCCATGTCACCAAGAGTGTCCAACCATTGGTTACGATAGTCACGCGGACCCCAACCAAGTAGTCTGCATCTACCAACATGGCTCAGACTAGAAGTTAGTGACTTCAAGCACTGATGCCACGTTTTGGTTTGGCCGCCCCTAACCTTCTTCCAACCATCTCCAACACCGTTTGGCATCGCACGTCGTGGTAATCGGTGTTCGGGCATACGTAACACGTGACCCAACCATCTCAGTCGATGAAGATTAATAACCTCACCAACTGATTTACCATCATTCCCTAATACCCTGCGTCTAACCTCACTATTACTTACCCGGTGATCCCAACAGACGCCAGCAATATTTCTAAGGCATCTGTGGTCAAATACTAGTAGCTTACGAGTGTCTTCTACTCTTAATGGCCATGTTTCGCTGCCTTAAAGTAAAACAGAACGGACTGCCGCGCAGTATACTCGTTTTTTTATTGATAGACGGATATCTCGCCTTCGCCAAAGGTGACGTAAGTTGGGAAAAGCCAAACAAGCTTTTCGAATCCGTGCTGAGATTTCTTCAGACACCAACCCATTAGGGCTGATCAGACTTCCAAGATAAGTGAAATTGTCGACGCGTTCGACAACTTCACTCCCTATCCTTAGTTCAGGTGTTGACTCAGCCCAGTCCTGAAGCAACAACTTGCATTTCGAGGGAGAGAAGCGCATTCCAAACATTCTGGCATTGTTGCTTAGTGCTACCAGAAGACTCTGCATTTTATCAGCGTCTTCACCAAACAGGACCATGTCATCTGCGTATTCTAAGTCGATAAGTGGACCTCCTGGTAGGAGATCAATGCCCGAAAATTCAGTCGACGAGAATGTTATTTCTAGCAATAGGTCTATGATGAAGTTAAACAAAAATGGATAAAGTGGACAGCCTTGAAGGACACCACTTGAGGTTGCAAAAGTAGATGACAGTTCGCCATAAGCCCTGACTCGACTAGTAGTGTTCGAGTAAAGAGCCTTTACAAGGTTTATGTATGCCTATGTTCTAGAACCTGACGAATGGTGAATATGTGGTCGATGCAGCCACGACCAGGTCTAAAGCCAGCTTGGTTCTCTCGTGTTTGTAGTTCACGAGTCTTAGTTAGGCGTTTGATAATTATCGAGGCCAGTATTTTAGATACTATGTTTGTTAAACTAATCCCTCTGTGGTTGTCACAGGATGATTTTGACCCTTTCTTATATATTGGGACGATAAGTGATTGCGACCAGTCAGATGGGATAACGTCTAACTCCCAGATCTTAGCTAAAATATTAGTCAACCTAATCGCTAAAATTGGACCACCATCCTTAAAGACTTCTGGAGCCAATCCATCTGGACCAGCTGCCCTTCCTCGTTTCAGATTAACTATAGCCTTCTCAACTTCAGCAAGAGTTGGGGGACCTACTTCAATGTTCCATTCACATTGTCTGGGAATGGAGGGTAGTTGTAGAGTAGCTGAAGGCCAGCTGAACTGTTCTCTAAAATGTTCCGCCCATCGTTCTAAACGTCTGGACTGGGAGCAGATGAGAGTATCATCTTTTTCCGAAATAATCTCACTTACACTTGACTTATTAATTCCAGTTTCTTTTATTAGTCTGTAAAGCTGTCTTGTGTTCCCTATAGTCGCCGCCTTTTCCATCTCTTTTGCTTTCGTTACCCACCACTGCTCACGGTCGTTCCTTAGACTTTTTCTTAACCTAGATCTGATTTGTTTACGCTCTTCATCATGTTCAGAACCTGATGGGACGAGTTTGCGAGAATCCATCAGTGTGACAGACCTTGAAGAAATCCACTGGTTCCTTGTAACTCTGTGGTTTAAGTCACTAATAGATGTCACTGCTGTTTCCACAGCTGCTTGTATGCCTTCCAAGCAACATCTGGGTCAGCCTCGTCTTCACAACTACCTAAGTGTGACCTCAGTTGTTCCTGGAACCTACTTTTGGTTTTCTCGTTACTCAACTCAGTTCTAATGGGTCTTTTTAATGTGGCTTTTTTGCGTCCAGTGAGGCGCAAGCAGATGCGTGCCCGTATTAGGGCATGGTCGGAGTCCAAGCAGGTACTCCAGAATGAGCGACAATCTTCTACCGACCCTCTCCAACGATGACTGATGGCAATATGGTCTATTTGAGTCCATCGTTGGTTTGGTGTAGGGGGTCGCCATGTTAGACGATGTCTCTCCTTATGCTTAAAATTTGTGTTTGCTAAAAATAAACGATTGTCTGAGCATAGCTGCAGCAGACGATCACCATTATCTGTTCGCTGTGTCGGAATACTAAAATATCCACCTAAATGCCTTTCTGTTTGGTTTAAACTGCCTATCTGAGCATTAAAATCACCTGCTACGAGTACTATGTCTGAGCGTTTAGCTTTCTGAAGAAGTTCGGACAGCTTTCTGTAAAATTCATCTTTCACTTCATCTGAGCTGCAGTCAGTGGGAGCGTAGGCAGAAACGACAAAAAGGCAACGACGTGTGTCCCTATCCTTCCGAGTTCTTACGTAGCCGTTCAGCCGAACAGCACATAGACGACTGTTGACGGGGATCCACTCTAGCAGTGCTTGTTCGGCCCTCATGCTTAGTGCTATGCCTACACCTGCCAGTCCACGAGAACTTGCCATCGGGTCACCAGACACACGAAGGGTGTATCTCGTTGGCTCTCCGTCTTGCCGAGGTGAGGTCAAGTGAATGACCACACTGGAATCCTGTATGCGTGTTTCGGAGACACAGCATACATCAATGGAAAGAGACTCTAGGGTTTTAGCCAAGGAAGCCTGCTGACCGATTTGACATAGGGTGCGTACGTTGAAGGCTCCAATGTGTAGTTTGGAGCGAGGTTTCAGTAGACCTGGGACAGTGTTTTGCGCACTAGAATCGTTGGCTATGGTGACACTTGAGGTGGAAGCCGAGAGAGGAAGTTTAGAGTTGAAAGTCGATGTAGGAGGAATAATAGGAATTGAAGAGGAGGTTGATTATGAATACAGTGGTCTTGAGTGCTGTTAGAAGTATGAGGGCGGTTATCACTTCCCGGTTGCCCACACCGTGGAAGGGTTGTTCTGGAGGTACCTGAAAAGGAAATTGGATTGAGGTGGTCTTAGTGACCTGAGAGCGTGACCGCAGTGCCCAAGGGACAACTGCTTGAGGTCGGTCACACACGACCTTGTTATGGGTAATTTTTGTGTTAGCTCCGTACTTATTGAGACCTTACCGCCGGAGACGGATATCCGTGGGATAAGGCGAGGTGTGCATTTTTAGGGTCGACCTTTTCTAACCCCACCCCTCCTTGTGGGAAGGCAGCATCGCTGTCATGCTGGTTGTCTGAAGGAAACACCTTACTGCTGTCACACCTCTGTACAGTCAGCAGTACGACTTCGCCTTCGGACCTTGGGTTTGTTGCTTTTAGTCTTACCGCTCTTCAACCGACCTGTCTGACATGGTAGGACCTTGAGGAACGGTTGTTCCAGCCAGTATAGCTCGGTTGCTTCATCACGATAGGCAAGCCCGACCACCACGTCAAGGTAGCAACAACACTGGCTTGTGTTGGTCCTTCACGACTCCCTGGCTGGGGTCCGAGAGATGATGCGACACAGTGGCTAGAGATGTTACCAAACATGTTTCAGAACTAAAGCCAGTGGCGATCTTACTGTAACATTCTTGTACTTTCTTCATAAAAAGTTGTTCTATCTTCCTTAACTGAAAGATTTCTTCTGGTTGTACCTTTCCGTTTCCCCCATTATTATTATTATTATTATTATTATTATTATTAATTATCATTATCATTATTATTAATAATTAATTATTACACTTCCTTACGCTAATCTGGTCATTATTGTTCATCTTTTTTTTTCGTTTGCGCTCCTTACCTTTTTATCTCCTCATTCTCATTGTTTCGTGTGGCGCATTTAGATTTGGTGCCCCCTTGTACCGATACTTGTGTTCAAATAAATAAAATAAATAATAATCCTTCAGGTATTTCTCTTCATTTTTTCGTGCTGCCAGCGTGCTGCAGTGTGTCCTCACCCTCTCCACCATCTCGAAATTCCAAATAGCCTGTGTTATTAGAATAGGTAAGTTCACCGCAAACACCAGTCGTTAGTTATCGTTATAATCTTACATACAACTACAAGGAAATTTATAGTAGTTTAGATCTATAAATCAGCGAGTGTTTATTTCATCCTTCTGTACAATATCCCGATTATTCACCAGTTTCCAAGTAGATTGGAAAAGTTTGCTTTAATGTATCTAAATGCGAAGGTATTAAAATTCTTTTTTCTAATGCTTTTGCTATCAAAGGTTTACTGTGAAAGTCAACCATGTTTACCAGTCGGTTTATCAGACGTTCCGGGTGAAGCTATGGTTAAGATATATTGTCCTAGATGTCAAGATACCTATACACCGAAATCTACTCGTCATCATCATACAGATGGAGCGTATTTCGGTACTGGCTTTCCGCATATGTTGTTTTTAGTTCATCCAGAGTACAGACCAAAACGAGCTAGTAAACAGTTTACTGCAAGGTAGGTTTTATTATAGGAAGTGTTTATACGTATTTTGATATGCTATGCAAATTGTGTATTAATTACTTAGGAGAAAAATAAGATAATGCAGCTTCGTAATTCAACGCATGTTTTCAGTCACAAGTTTGAGCCTAACTCAACCTAATTCGCTTTGAGTGACCGGGTAGTATCTCTAGGCCTCGCGCTTAGAGTGTCACTTGAAGTCAAGTACATGGATCTGTGCCTGATAGGTGAGTTACCAGCTTTTTGTTGACTGATGCTTGCTGAAACTCCATCTGTGTAATAAAATTAACTGTTTTTAGAAACTTTCCACTGTTTCGGGTTACGAATACTTTTAAATGTATGGTAGAGTATATCGTTGATTTCACTAAACTTTCGTTTTTAATACTCTGAAACATTCATTGAGTTATGCTAAACTGTCTATGCCTCTCATACATATGGTACTTAAAGGATCCCTTGATGTTGATTTGATCGTATTCTATATATTTCTGGTTAAATGAATAAAGAGAATTCAGTCTTACTTTGTTCATCTCTGAGTACTTTATTTATTACTTAATGTTAACTTTCAAGTCATATAATTCTCGAAGGCAGCTGTTGCATAATTTCAAAGAAACAGCCGTAAAATATTTTACTTGTTGCATGTTTATACACCTAGTGTCTGAATAATACTTAATGAGTAGCTGAACGTGTTAAAATTGTCAAGTTTTCAAGGAATTTCCTTCCGTGATATTAACATGTATTAATTGAATAGTACTTTAGAATCAGTAATAATCCAACCGCATGCAAACAAGACAAAACGATACGAACTGGAAAGGTTTAAATTCGAAGTCAGCAGCACAGTATTGTGTTACGTAGCTATCACAAAGGTAAACAAAACAGTCACTCAGTCAAACACGACGCAGAACCTAGGATATGTGTGCATCGGTTCAATTTTCCATACCTCGTTAGCACAGCGAGATGAGTTTCAGAGCGAACCCCAGAGTAGTAGAGGTATCAACAGTATTATTCACAGTACAAAAGATTAAGCATGAAATATACAATTTTAGAGGAAAAATATAAATTAGTGACATAATCAAAAAGTTTGTAAGGAGTTTAGGAACTTAGAATTTAAGGAAAAACAGTGGATGCACCTGTTCAATTGTGAACGATTTTGATTCGTGTCGTTCCAAGTCTCTAACCACCGGTTACAATAATCACACGGACCCAGACCAGGTAGTCTGCATATATCTACATGGCTCAGTCCAACTATTGAAACAAATAGTAACAAGACTTATAAAGTGTGCATTAGTTCAAATAGTTGTTCAATAAACAGCAATTGGTTTGCCTATGCTGTTTTTACATAAAATGATGGTTTAGTGTTAAATAAACGCTATCTTAACTTTGTTATCCTCAGCCTGAAATCCTTTATTCATTTAGTAATGTTCATCCAAATAACTTAAAATGTTTGTGTTCAGAGTGACTCACTATCCGTCTCATAAAAATAAGCTTGTTAATTAATACAACAGTTATTTAGATATATAGTCCTCTGAAGATTTCCATTTCACTTAGTTGTGATACGATGCCAAAAGTTTAGACCTAACAACCAGGTCTTGATTGGGTCATGAGAAACCTGCAAGCTAATCTCCTCCAATCGCCTGTGATATTTGATTGCATTTATTTTGTGTTCATATTCTGGATATAATAAAATTTTATTACACGCGAAACTACTTATCTGACTAGTGGTCTTGTCTTTAATTTCTAACCATCAATAATACGATCTCTTAAGTAGTCATCACTCGATCACGTGGCCGTTGTGTTCGTCTGCCGATTATAATCCTATTCAATGATTTTAACAATTAAAAAATTTCGTCTCATCACCACATCAAAAACCTCCTAAACGAGATGTTAAAATCCTATCGAAAGTTTTAGGATTTATCCTTCAAGGATAAATGGGTAGAACTACATAATCGCTGATAATATGGGGTAATAGCGGCATTGTATTTTAACTTAATGGCATTCTAAAGTAGGAATTCAATCATAAAGCTTATCACACTGTTATAATTTCTCTTATTACGACCCAGCTATTCCTTATTATTTTTTGACACTACTTCACTCGACAACTCCCTAAATCAGAACACGGTTGAACAGGAACGAAATTATATTCCAGATAATAAGGGTAGATGGAAGTAGGAATCAGAACAAGAAAATCGTTAGTATGTTTATAGTTCTTACATGAGATTCTAGAGTCTTCTCCCAGAATCTACTATCGCTGATTGGATAAGAAATAGCCAGTCAGCGTGTACCAATACAATTGTGCACGGAACGTGCACTAATCCAGTCTATATTCCGCTAACATACACGAATACTTTTTATTTTCAGTTGACTTCAATGTGGGGTCGATAGTACGAACACACAAGCTGTTCCAAATTAAAACAACATAGCGTTTTGGATTTTTGCACTTCATTAACTCCAAATGATGTCGATTTTCAAAGTAACAAACTCTATAAGAGACTGATAAAGTATTGTAACTGAGTTTAAAAAGAATTGTTCATCCATAAATCATCACTGGGAATAAATTTTCCATCACTTAAATATGTAAATTATGTTACAACGGTAGAGTAGTTCGTAATTTTCCTACAATGTAGTTCTCTTCAACATATTACCTCCTCTATAGGGTTGAACTATTGGGAATGTTATCAGGTCAACAATACTTGGTATTAAAATTTAAAATCAATAGGATAGTTTTTAACACGTCACCTATGGTCTATAAATTTAGTACATGAAACAGTAACTAATTCACAACAACTTGAAATATTCCAGGCAATTATTTTGTAGTATTGGGAGTTTATAAAAGTCATATAGGCTCTGTCAAACAGTAAACATATTTCAGTGCATAGTTTTTGTTTATTTTTACACTGTTGTTTTTTATTTATTTCATTTTTAACAGGTTATTTGGCTTTAAAATACATCCTTTGGCTTATCAACTACAATATCAAGCTGCGGCTAATTATGTTATGCCTGTACGCCCTGGTTTTTCAAAACGTGCATAAAATTAGAAACGACTTTACTGTTAATTGTAAATCACGTCTGATTTAAGCGTGGTGGAAACTAATACTTCTTTGTACTGTTGTTATTGTTTTTTCTTCACATCTTTTGTGAATTCATCAGTTAGAAAGAGAAATATAATTTTAATAGAACCAGATAATTGATGTTCTCTTTCCATGTTAGTACCCTATTTGTTTATATTCATTTCATTGGAAATCTGTTAAAAGAGTGCAAATGCACTATACTATATGTTCATTTTGGAAAACTAGTCCCCAATTTGTTCCTACTTTGAACCGTTAATATAATGTACATAAAGCGTCGATAAAGTTCATTCTACCTGTGTAGTTTGAGCTCATGTCGTTCAGTTAAGAATATTAGAAGTAAATTTTTCTGCTTTAGATAAACTTTTACGATGAAAGACCAAATGAGAAAAGTAGTTACGACGATTTCCTGTTTTTCATTTTGTTAGCCAACATGCTTCTTACCAATAGATGTTAACTTCATGGATTGTAGCCTTCGTGGTATTATGTCATCTCTTGTATACATTAATAGTTTCAATATAATCTTACTTCATGGTAGACAATGACTTAGATTCTTAAATACGTTTCCAAACAATTCTACTTGGTACGAATATACAACCACAACTCGTCATTATTGTTAATCAAAAACTAGTAAATTTATTGAGAATCACTTGTGTTCAAAACTTATATTGGGGATCGACTAAGTTGATCAAGTCTTACTAATTATTCTCTGCCGAAGGAATGCTCTTCTCAGTGTGACCAGATGTGGTTGATAGTGTCTTATATGTAAGCGCTATGAAAAATTTCAGACCATGAGTTAGTGTCATTTCATAGCAGTGGTATGCGTGTGTGAAGAAAAGTAATTGTAAAACAGTAGTTATGTAACAGGAAGGGCGTGACTAGGAATTCCTCCATCTGAATATCGTGGGGGTATTGCCAGTGAGTTAAGATGCCTGGTTTGGTGGATATCTGGTCAGCCGCTGAATTAATCAATGTTTCTGACTGTCAAACGACCTACTGGGTAGAAAACTGTAATTCAAAACTCAATAGCCTAATCATAATGTTGTTTACAGTGGGCAAAAATTTTTAATATTAAGAATGACCCAGATTAAGTTTTGCAGCCGAGGATCCTCTCTAACCAGTTAAACAATTATTGTTTCCTGATTGTAATCCGTATGACGTCTCTTTGTTTTGATCACTCACATTGTGGTGGCTCAGCGATCAAAGCTCTGGACTCACTAAGTATCAGATCTGAACTGCCACATCTAATTCGATTTGGTTAGATGCCTATTGTCACTAGCCTTGACAATTAGAGTGTATCTCAAAGCCAAATGCACTCATCTGTACCTGATAAATGAATTTTATATCTGGAACACTTTACCAGTCTCATTTGCAAAATTCACTTAATCATATGAAATCAGATTGTTCGAAATGTATGGCGCAAATACACCATATTTTTTTCAGATCAACTTAATCTCATTACGTTATAGAAATGAACTAATGGTCTCGGATAAATTTATATTTTTTCTTCTGAAAATATCAATATAATAGGTTGTAATGGGGAAAATTGATTGCACAATTTCCAGCAAACAATTACATAATATAAGAAATATTAGATCATTAGGGTGAACATAATCAATTTTAGGTATGTAATTAACCTATAAACTAAGAAAATATGCATCTATGAAAGAAATGAGAACCAAGAAAATACGGATCAAGTCTTTCATAATAATAATGATAATAAGCAGAATCATTGCAAATAATATTAAATAGAAGTGAACAAAATCAAGTAGGGTTTACTGTAAAGAGAGGTTGTCTGATGAAGAATATTTCTTATAGTTGGTCCTTTAAAATTTCTGCAATATGAGGAATATTCCTGTGTAGACTTATTTGTATTGATTGTCTGGCTCTTATAAGTAGCATCGAATGAAGAATCTAGGTTCGAATCAATGTAAACTTGGTTAAGCTACAATGACAGATGCTTATTAGTTGGACAGAATAGACATATCCATCTGACTGCTACTTATAATGGCTTTATGTGTTCTTGTAAAAGTATTTTTGTTATAAGAAAAAATTGAAACTTGAATTTGGTGTCTATTACAACATGCACGAAAACATTATCCCTTAAACTGCTGAATCCGTTTGATCACCAACTTGTTCAATGCGTATGAATTTATTTATAAGACTTTATATTTCTGATGTTATGGTGTCAACTGATCTGATCCCGATTTGGATGAATGTATGAATATACTAAATATAAATCTTCCATTAACTTTGTATATTACCTAGACTAACCCTGTTTGTATGACGGCAGTAATAAGAAACCAAATACAGGTGGCGTTGTAGGAATTTACTCCTGGGATTCGTTTGTGGAGATAGGCCTAATAAACCTATTTCGTAAATAGTTTTTGATAGCTTTTGCATTTATTTTGTTTATTTCCACAATCTGTACATTTATCACTAAACGATTGTACTTGTTTAAGTATGTGACCTTGACAACTAGCTTCCGTTTTGAATAACACATAGCACTACATCGTTAACTGTGCATTGATAAATACACTCTTATACATACATGCCTCGTTCTATCATGCCTGTGGATATAATAACTGAACTACTGACTAACTATCAACTATATTTATAGACTGTTGTGACATTCCTATTGCATTCTACGTCGAGAAAACTGGCTGGAGCCATATTTACCTCATTGAAATTATTAATTATCTATAATTGTGGATCTTTGGTACCAAGCACAGTGGAACACGCAACAGCCAACTGATTTAAGCAACGTCCCTGAACCTTTATTTTGCGTTAATAATTTATAAGTTGTTTATTGTTATATTAACTTCTGGACGTAATAACTTTATTGCTATTCCTTTTTGGTTAATATACTGTTTGGTCCACCACACGTTTATCCCGACAGACGACCAGATAAAGGAAGCGAAGCGAAAGGAAATGACGCGCAGAGGGGAAAGCAAGTGAGTCAACTCAATTTAGTCAAGCGTTAATCAATATTTATGTTGTGGATGCGGAGGAATAGACCAATAATTATCATGTTAAGTCCAATGGTGTCCTTGGACTTTAAATGGACATTTCCTATTGGTCGATATCTGTTCACTTGTTGAATATTGTACAAAATGTTGTTTTCTATTTTTATGGTACGATGTGGTATGCTTGATTGGTATATAAACAAAGTATGTTTGAAATATAATGATTCATATCTCAGAGGTTGTGACTTGTGTTCTGGACTCAACTGACTGGGCTAGACAGGGAAGCGAGACCAATCGAGACTCTAGGCCGTCCGTCCGTGTTTACGTGTCATTGGATCGATCGATAACACAGGGTAAAAATCGACCCCCAACTTAAATTCATAACAATTTATATTCAGACAAAAATAAACTACAGATATGTGATAAGTAGGGTAAGCAATACACGCACATACGATCATATAAAAACAATCAGGTTAATAAGCAGACAAGGTCAAAGTGCAGCTCGAGTATAATGAATAAACTGATCTGTCCAGAAGCTAGAATAGCCAATGTGGGCCTGACATAGCACCGTCCACTACAGTGTCAATAACTAATTGTGAGACAGATCAAAATTAACAACGTGGAAATGCGGACTCGTAAAATAAATTTGAATACTGTTTTAAACACACTCAACTTTAATTAGAACACTACAAATTCACAGTAGATATTGATAAAAATTTTAAGTTTACCTAAACATATGTACTGAAAGAAGTGTTTTCCAGAAAAGATTCCAGCTTGATCAATATTGTCATTTTGTATAGAATACCAAAGAGAATTCAATAAAATGCGTTCAAACAATACTGTGTGAATAAGAAAATATTTTTATATCAGCTTATGATCTTGATATTTTATTAATATCTGTTTGTTGAACAAATAACCGATGGCTGAAAAACCGTTCAACATTGAATAACTGTAATGACTTGACAGAATACTGGTTCTGCTACGTGTTCTGAACTGCGGACACGATTGTTTACTTGTTAATGCATAATGAAGCAAACACTGATATTGCTTGATTTAAAGGAAAAAAGGTAAGACCGATGATTAAGTGTCTATTGTACGCCAAACACAAATCCACTACTGATCAAAACAATATCTAAAGTTACTATGAAGTGTATGTCATTCAAATATCCAGTCAACAATCAAATCTGAAATCATTGGACTGGCGGTAAGTTACATTGCATTAATCAATAATTGAGTGTGTGTGTGTGCATATTTTACAGTATAAATGAATTATCTGCTTTAACTAATCAATATAACTAAATTACTGAATAACATAATTGTACCCTCGTAACAGTAACGCGGTATGACTTCGATTTAAGTATAAGATTGGACACTATCGTTCATTTTTTATTCCTTACAGAGTAAACCGTACGACTGTTAAGTTTGAAACTGAACTCGACTTAGTTTTTTTTCATATGCCCTTAAACTTTTCCTAATTAGTTGAAATGTGTCATGAATGATGTTGCTCAGTGTAGCAGTTAAACAATATTACTCTAAGATTAATCCAGATAGCTATTAACTACGTAACTGTTCTGTTTAATTTGAATATTGAACACTAGCAAATTATTTGTTCAATGGTGTTGAGATAATAATTTGCACACCATTAACAATGATATAGTAGGTCACTTGTCATGGAATGGATTAGGCATATTTTAACTCTCACAACTAGTAAATTGTATACGACATATTATTAATTATTCAATGATAAGTTTGACAGTTATAATACTTGATTCAACATATGACAATATTCAATATAAAATTAAAATGCAGTGAATAAATGTTTTAGTTATTGTACACCTTAAGTATTTGATTAACATTTGTATTTGTTTGTGGTAAATTCTTATAACAGACTATTCTGTTGATATATAGGATTGATGTTTCTTTTACAGTTTTTGTTTTTGTGCCTTATATAGATCTAATTATTTCACTACTAATTCCTACTATGATTCAATTATCACA